ATATATATATATATATATATTTGTAAGTCTCACTAATTTGAAAACAATGATGTTTATCTAGAACCTAGGCTATGGCAAGGTAGCTAGTAATAATGTGTTGATTCATGAAACAATTAACTGCACGCAGAGTAGATTATTATTATATAACTAGAAAAGATTAGACAGCAGCTAATTCGATTTGATGTTTGAAGCCATTTGATGTGATGCATGAAAATTGAAAGCCATTGTAATTATAACGTACCTCATAGAGCCATATACACATAACATATTAACAATTCGTTAAAAAGTGAGAACCCAATTTGATTCGACAACACTTGGATATTATCCTTCATTAGCTGTCATGGTCCCACCTCAGCTACCCAAGTCAACCAATAATACCATCTCTCCCCTTTCACCTCACTTAACATATTCACTTGTTTAATGTTTTTATTTTAAGTCTCTTAATTATGTAGTCTTTAAAATTATTGAAAAAAAACCATTAAATAAATTCTTAAATTTGCATCATTATTTTTGTTTTATTCTTCAACATATACACTTTTATAATCTTATCATAGTTAATACAAGAAATAACATGGTATGAAAATATTTAGAAAAATTAAGCATGAGATACAAAATGTGAAACCTAACTCTTCTAAATTATAGAAAGGTTATATACTACTTTTTAAGGTGCATCGAAAATCTCAAATTTTTTAAAAATAATTTTAAAAAATTCTGGTATGATTAAATTTAACCTAATTACAGTAAATATATAAAGTTCTCAAAGTTAAACTGTTGAATCTTTGTCCTATCCAACTTGGTAGATAACTTATAAATAGTATGTATATACTCAATCAAACAGTTTAAAGGTTGTCACGTTCTGTTGAATGAAAAAATTATATGAGATAGTTTTTCAGTTGAACAAAGCTTTAGAACTTATATTTTTGTTAAAACAAGCATGCTATTAATCGACTTTAGCAAATTTCAGTTTTAAGAATTTAAAATAATTTTTAATTTTTTCCCAACCACTTTCCCCACATTCAAATCCAATCGTCCTTTCTAATAATTGCCTCCTAGTTGCACGCTCTCTATATATATATAGCTTCAAAACTTAGCATTTGCATGCACAACAGTCTTGGCCAAATACTTATCTTGGCATCTTGTGCTGTGTCCCACTTTCTACATATTTCAATTCCCTCTCTAAATACAATTGGTTAATTGCCAAATAGTGACCAACCAACATCGATATCAGTTAGAAGGGTTGTGTTTGAAATGAAAAGTATTGGGATTTTTATGGTGGTGGTAGCTACCTTTGTGGTGGCAACCACCGGTGGTAGCTTCTACCAAGACTTTGAAATAACATGGGGTGGTGATCGTGCCAAAGTCCTTGAAAATGGACAGGCTCTTACCCTCTCCTTGGACAAGGCCTCTGGCTCTGGCTTTCGTTCCAAACATGAGTACTTGTTCGGAAAAATTGACATGCAGCTCAAGCTTGTGCCTGGAAACTCTGCTGGCACTGTCACAGCCTATTATGTAAGTCATCTTGATTAAGAGTATGTTTAACAAAGTATATTTTCTGTAAAAAAGAAAAAAAAAGCTTTTGAAAACCTTTATACTCTCATAAACTTCTATCCAAACAGTTTTTTAAAATTCATAAAAAGCTATATTATATCTTGTGTTTAGATAAATAGTAAATAGTATTTAGGGGGGAAACTATCATCTAATCATAAATTGTGTTATATTAGACTTATCAATGCTTATGGTATCTTTTTTAAATCATGTTTATTAGAAGGAAAGAGATATTTCGTATTTTTAAATATTTTTAAAAATAAAATAAACAAAAAAAATAATAGTGTAATTCATTTAGAATTAATTAATAATAATTACTAAAATTATTTATGTATTTTCTTATTAATTGATAATATAAAAATGGTTACATGAATAAATATTTTTTCATATTAGTATAGATTAATATTTTTATTGTTTTAATCAGCACATAAGAAAGATTACGATGATAATAATAAAGATCGAATAATTAAAAATTTTATATATGTATCTCAACTTCTAATCATTAGGAAGATTATAGTATTTTTACCATATTAATTATAACATTTTCTAATTGGTTGAATGCAAAATTTTTCACACTAATAATATATATAAAGATAAATTTTAAGTTATTACACAGATTAATGAAACAATTATCCAATAAAAAAATTATGATGTTTTCATAAAGTTTATTAAGCCACATAATTTCATAAACTCAAATAATTAAACGGCATATAAATTCTTTCAAACGTCATTAAAAAAACAAAAACTTTTGTAATAATTATTACAATCAAACTCTTTAATTAGTGTTTAACATGAAACAATAAACCCTTTATTTGTGATTGGTGCAGCTATCTTCTTTGGGACCTACTCATGACGAAATAGACTTCGAGTTCTTGGGCAACTTGAGTGGTGATCCTTACACTCTCCACACAAACGTGTTCACCCAAGGGAAAGGCAACAGAGAGCAACAGTTCCATCTATGGTTCGACCCCACCAAGGACTTCCACACATACTCCGTTCAATGGAACCCTGCAAGCATCATGTATATATATATATATATTTACAATTTTAATTTCCATATTATATATTAATGAGTTAATTATACTGACAACCAATCATATCTTTTAATAGTGTCATATCATTTATTTATTTAATTAAATAAAAATAAAATAAAATAATTTAAAATATATGATTGATTATCGGTGTAAAAAACTTTATATAATTAATATATATAATTATTCATAATTAATTAACGTTCATTTTAATGTATGTAATAGATTCTCTGTGGATGGGACCCCAATAAGGGAGTTCAAGAATTTGGAGATAAAAGGGGTTCCTTTCCCGAAGAACCAAGCCATGAGAATATACTCTAGTCTTTGGGACGCTGAGGATTGGGCCACGCGAGGTGGGCTTGTGAAAACAGATTGGACCAAGGCCCCATTCACGGCCTCATATAGGAACTTCAATGCGCAAGCGTGTGTTTGGGCCTCGTCAGGCTCGTCTTCTTGCTCTTCTTCCTCGGGCCAATCACTGGACGCCACGGGGCAGGCCAAGCTTCGTTGGGTGCAGAAGAACTACATGATCTATAACTACTGCACTGATATTAGACGTTTCCCACAAGGCCTACCTCCAGAATGTTCCTCTGCATGAGAATTCGAGAATCAATGTTGCATATTATTATAAATATTAAATATTAAATATTAAATATGGTCCCCATCATATACGTGGCAGATGATGCCTATGATTGTTGCATGCATAAATTAATGTAATTAAAAGTCTAAAAGTATTATTGTTGGTTTGTAAAAAAAAAACAACAAAGTACGTGCAAAATGATATTCATGAATCATGGCAGTGTATATGTGCTGAAATTATGAAGTATAAATTTGTTGGAGAGTTGAAAAGTTTGTGGAGTCTTATATTATTTTGGTATATGTTTTCTTATTTTTCTTCCACTCCTCCTTCGTAAGATAAAAATTACTCAAGGACCCATTTTTATTTATACATAGAGTTTGAGAAAGATCTAGAAGAACATCATAATCATTTCCAAAACAGAAATAATTGCAAAAGAACTCTAAACTTGACCACGAGGAATATTAATGACCTACACATTCAAACACCTTACTTAGCACGAACTCTTCACCCTTTTGCCACTTCCTATCAACTTTTCCCTATCAATCTTCATAAGCAAGGCATCTTTTTGAATAACAATGCAAAGGAATGACCCATCACCCTCATCCGATCCCTTTCATATATATAAAACACCACAAGTGGCATGCTCACGCAAAAATACAATTCCAAATAAAAATAAGTTGCGTGGCCTCATAACAAACAAAGGTAATTCCTCTACTTTCTATTAATGGGGTAACCAAAGTCTTGAGTTCCACGTAGAACACTTTATGCTTAATTAATACTTATTAAGTCAAAGTATTCTTTTACATTATTGTGGAGATAAACATGCCAATAATAAAGAAGGTCTCTTCTAAAATATGGCCTAGTGCGGTCTCAATATGGATTGATAGTAGTAGCATAAGATGACACGAACCACACAATATAAAAGGAGTTTAAATTTTTGGAAAGAATTTTATTTTTATTATTATTATTGATAACATTTGAAAAGACGGATGTCAACGTGCACCAATCATTTAAAAGTCAATTTATTATAAGTTTGGAACAATATAAAAATATGATAGCAAAATCCAACAATCAAAAGATAATAATAGGTACATGAACCTCATTAATCTATTTCGTATTGGCAATCTTTGAGTTTGAGGCACGTGTTGATATCAAAATTCATATGTAATAGGAAAAAAAAAAGGTAAAAAAAAGTCACCCAAAAATAAAACATGGTGGATAATAACCCTCTTTCATTACAATTCCCCCCCCCCCTCCTATCATCACAATCCAATAACTATTAATAAATCCAATGGTATTTACTGCCATATATAGTGGTATTTGGTTGTTATGTAAAGACTGTTTGGATTTCCTGAAAACTCGTGTGAATTCAGAAAATTTCATTGGTTCGAATATACATTGTTCTACCGAAAGGGAACAAAGAGTGATATCTATGGTGTGGGTGTTTGAGTAATTGAGTTATGAAGTGAATCCAATTGGAAGATATAAGGCAATTGTGGCTTTGGTCAACATCAAGCGGTGGCTGCTGACTTCTCTATAAAGGGAACTCCTATACTATGCCATGCTCATCATCTGAATGTTAATTCCTATGGCTATGGTTACATGCTTATGCTTATGATGGCTTTTGCTATTTGGTTTGGTTATTTTATCTAGTGGTGGGAATTTTGTGTCGGTGGTTCATTTTCTGAATATATATTTATGGACGATTAAAGTATATATTGGATTGAAATTCATTCAATATAAATTTTTTTGTAATTGTTTTCAAAAAATTATAAGAATCTAATGAATTTTAAAAAAAATTAAAAGAATTTTATAACTAAGATTTTTTAATTTAAATTTAAATGAATTTATATCACAAGATTAGAAAAGATTTATAAAATTTTAAAAGATAATAGAAAATTAAAAGAAATACTGTTAATAAAAAATACAATATAAATGATAGGAGTTGAATAAAAAAAATAAAATTAATACAATTTATTTTCAATCTTTTAACAAAAATTGATTATAATTTCATTTTTTCTTAAATAATATTTTTCACATATTTAAAGTTATATTATTATTAACATTTTCTTATTTAGACTTGAATTATATGTTCAAAATTATAGTGTTCATTAATTTGTATTATTGAAATAGAGATTCCCTACCGATTCAATTCATTATAACAATATTCTATGTGAAGAAAATTATCTAGTATATATTATACATAATAACACAAATTCAACTTGTGTTTTAAAAACTTATGTTTTTAAAAAATCAAATATTGATCATAACCCTTAAAGAAGCATACTGAATATTAAATAATTTATTTTTATTTTAAGGATCATTATCATGACTTATAAAATCTTATGAAAATTTATGAAATTATTAATAATTATATTGTCACAACAAAATATATATATATATACATTCATGCATATTATTCTAATATGTCTAAAAGTCCTATATTGTTTAAGAATCAAAATTAAGGCTAATAAATAAATATTATCATCCCTTAATCCACCAATATGTTTTTTCAAAGATAAAATTATATATGACACTCTAACAAATGTTAAAGTGGATAATATCTCATAAACACACATAATTATAATAATTTTAAATTTTAAAACAGAAGAAAGTCATCAGAGTAATATCACTCGCGACTTGTTGGTAAATTTGTTTTACTTTCAAAATAAAAGATATGCAAATGGCTAAAGAAAAACTTGAAGCTTATAATCCAAACTAGAAGAAAGGTAAAATAAGTACATATGTTAAGAAAAAAACAAAGATAAAATATATTCTCAATTATTGTAAATATAACTAAATCTCATCTTAGTTGTTTAAAAAAATGTATTAGGTTTAGTTTTTATATATAAATTTTAAGTCTCTATCGTTGCTTGACAATAATTTTTAATCATGTTAAATACCTATATGTTAGCTCTAATTGCTGACATGATATAACTAAAATGCATATAACTTTGCACCACCCTCAAACTCATTTTCTTCTATACATTTGTGTGTATCTTGTAATTCTCTTTTTTATTTATTAGATGCCTTTCTATGTTAAATACACATGATTTATAAATTATCAAAATAAAAAAAAAGGTTTTCTTAGCCACTTGACTTTTAATTTGAATCGGTCAAGTCCCTATATTATCATATAAATGAATTTGATCCCAAACTTAAAAATAAAATAAAATAAAGATTTAGTATATTATCTTGAGACATTGTATAACATGTGTTAATAGAAAATTGAATTCAATGAAGATTTAGTTCATCTTACATACACACATCACAGACATTCTGCTTTTCTATGTTATATAGACTAGTATATAAATATTAAAAGTGATGATATTACACATAATATTACAATTCTATCAAAAAGTTTCCAATTAGTACAAAATAAACAATATGTAAAATCATAATGACTGATTGTTGAAATTCACAAAAGAATTAGACACTTTGAATTTAAAAGAAAATGTTCAAAAACAAGTTTATTATGATTTAAATGGAGAAATGCATCGGAGTACCCATGTGTACCATGCATTAGAATTTAGATATCGTGATGTCCATATATTTACCAAAAAAATAAGTTATTTATAGATATTATTAGGAAAATCATACAAGTTTAGGATTCAGTCTCTTTTTCACTCCATAAAAATCAAAATCAAATGATCATCCATTTTCTTTCTATGAAAGAAAGAGATATATATAACCTTTAGTAAGTAATGATCAAATAAAACATAATATATTTATAATCCCTCTAAGAATCACAATTTTTTTTAAACTTAAGAAAAATTAAATCTAAATATATTTAAAATTTTGAAGAATAAATCCATCATTATGAAAGTATATCGATCTTTATCAAGTTTGATTGAAAGTATAAAGACTAAAAATATATATATTTTTTTATTAAAAATACATAATTTTAAATCAATTAACTTCCATATAGTTTTAGTAAATGTATCATTCAAACATTTATTTTCAAAGTGTTCAACTTAAATTAAATTTGTACAACTAAAACACATAATATTTGTATTCTTTAATTAAAAATAAGAGTTTTTTTCGGCTTGAGTATAAAATTATAATGAAAGATCATCTATATATAAGCTGACTCATTGGTAGGGTGTTATACCCTTTTATCATATAAAAAGCAAAAAAAAAATGATTAATCATGTCGTTAATAAAAAAGAAGTGCAGAAGATCACGTAATGAGGCCATATAGTCTTAATATGCCATGAATTTCACAAACTGACAAATTGTGCTGGTTGTTATCAACAAAACACACAGGTTAATTAGTTGCTACAATCCTTAACATGGAAAACTTTACAGATTTTCTCCAACTTATTGTACATTGAAGCAATAAAAGAACAATGTTATAAAGTTTTATTCCATCCGTGTGGAAAATGAACTTATATAACTTTCCTTAAGCCTCTCAACGTCAATGAATATCAATGTTCAAGCTTCTTTTCTGACATATTTCGTTGCCAAGGATGTAACTGTCTCAGCAATGCCAAGGTTTCGGTAATGAAAGATGTTCAACAAGAAGAATTGGACTGCATTAAAATTTGGACCACAATATGAAACTTGAATGCTGTTGACTTGACTGAAGCCTGCAGATTCTTGTGCATGCTTCAACAAATGAAGAATTTGATATTTGTTTAACTGATTTTCACTCAGCCTTCTTCTTCATTCTGGTAAATTCAGAAAGTTAAATACATCCTTTTGCCTCTCTCCATTACTACATAATACAGACATACAGGCACTTAGAAGTTCTTAGTGAATTGGAGCATAATTTCTAGTGCACAGATCTTTTTGCCAAAATGGATATTACAAAGGAATGATTCAAACATCTGTAATGTTTGCGAAGATTATCTAAATCTAGCACTGTAGGATGATTGATTGTAAACTTAAACAAGTCCATAATTCTTGCTTAATTTCTATTAGAATTTGCCTACATACCAAAAGAAGAAGCAGAACAATTTGGACCATGTTGCCATAACTACAAACAATTATCACATAAAAGTTGCACCAAAACCACAGTATTATGCTACAGAACATGATTTCTTTAAAAAAATAGATAGATTGTGCCAGGAAAAGCAGCAAAGGTGTTAGAGGGGGTGATTATTACATTGAGAGAATTCACAACAGAGTGAAAGTATATGCAATATAATAAATTATATCTGTTTTAAGCATCTAGCCTATAGGATAGTCCATATAATACAAGACATAAACTCACACAGCTTACTTTACATTCCATGGAATGATGTAGCATAGAAATTTTCAAGTATCCTTTTGCTTTTGGTTAAATTCATTTGATCAAAAGATCGTGTAAATAATATTTAAATCTCATCAAATGAATATTCTGCACATACATACCAAACTATTGCTGATAGAAACCTATTAGGACATAGTGGCCTTAGGATTTTTGTATACTAATATCTAGTGTCCATAGAATTATTGCTATAACAGAATTATAGCCAGTAGTGCAGGTAGAACTGTAGACGAATAATGCATGATGAAATTAATTAAATCAGAAAATTATTTCTTAGCATTAAGATTAAACTTCTTGCGGAATAAAATCACCATTAATGTCAAATCAATACGTGCCAATGAAACATCATACATAAAATGATTAAATTATGAGCCTAAGGATATAATAGGCAATACAGATGATCAAACTGATTCACAAATTTTACATTATTTCAATTTTGAAGTGCACTTGATTTCTTCACAAGTTGGTCAATGCATGATATGGTATAATTAACAGGATAAAAGTTAAGAAATATAGTTAACTATGAAATCGGCTAATTTTCTTACCTTCTTTTTCTTTGTCTGAATACGAGAACAAGTAGTCCAAATCCTATAATGATTGCAACTTTTACTACCTGAAAGGTGAAGATGTGATAAAGGCCATATAACTTATAAGCATATTATTCATCAATAGTTGAAAGCATTTTGCAAAATAGAGGAGAGATAGCAACCTTTTCAATTTCTATTTAAGATTGAACACCTATATTGAGAGATAAGTTATATATATGCATCAACGTTTATAAAACTTATTGCTTACTTGGAAGCAGTATTGTAAATATAAAAACAGTGAGTACCACTTCCAAGGTCTACAATTAAAAATTTCTAATTAAACAAGCGAGATTCTGATCTAAAATTTGATTATAACCTGATTAATTGGTCCTCCAGAATTTTCATCTCCATTATCAGCAGAAGTCTTGGGCTTTGATTCTTTAATTTCCTGTATCTTTTCATACTTGCTCCCCTCAGTTCCAGTACCAACGTATGCTGCATTCTGTTACACAAAAATAAAATAAAATATAAGAAAGAAGAAGAAAATACATAATTAGATAAATTGTTACAGTAGTTTATATGTAATATGTTGATATCCACTTCTCATCTTAAATATTTATAAACACAAACTTTTATACTTCTAGTATGCTAGTCTATAAGGAAGCTTCAACCAACATGCAAGACAATGCCAAAAAGAAACTTTGTTCGGTTTGTTAAACAAAGGAATAATACTGAGTCTCCAGTCCTCCACGACATACAAGTGATACAACACAGAATTAGCATCTTAATGCCTTCCTTGTTTTGCATTTTTTTTTTTTCTCTCCAGATTTTCTCATTGTGTAAGGAATTCATCTTGACCGATGATAAATGATGCTCAAAGCTTTTATTGAAAAAGAATAATTAACCATAACTCTAAACATACTTTGATACCTTCTCTACAGTTAAAATCCAATTATAAGTTGTGAGATCTAGTCTCACATTTGAAGTACGGGATTTTGGTGTGGGTTTATATGATCTCGGTCTTTACAACTACAACAACTAGCTTTGTGGTGTGGTTTTTCAAAAACTTTTATCAATTGCTATAAGAACCTTCTACCATGTCTTAGTTGCAAACGAGTAACATTAGTGCTGTACTTTGTAGTGTTCTCAGGGACTAGACAATAGGCTAGTTAGTGCACAACAAGCCCACGTGGGCGTGGGTGTTGGGGTTGTGAAGTGTGGTGGTATGTTAGGATCCAAGTGCAAGATATGAGATCGGAGTCTTGCATTGGAAGTATGAGATTCTAGTATTGTACTATGCAATTACAATAGCTAGCTTTTGTGGTGTGGTTCTCCAAGGTTCTTACAATAGCCATTTACTTTTTTACTACTAATTTTGATTCTGTTAGGATACAAGCTAGAAACACTTTCTACTGAAAATAAAGAGTATTTTCCAATAAAGAAGCTCTCAAAAGAATTTCTTAGCTTATATTCAAATATGCACTTTATATATCTTTCTTGGTCATTTGGACTACCCAGACAGACTCCAAAACATTCAAAAGAATAATATTTGTTGTGCAGCATTAAATCCAGTTCTTCTGGTGCATCGGCCTGAATACAAGCATTTCACCTTCTTTCTATTGGTTTGTTGTAGAATCTTGCTTGGAACTGAATAGTTTGTAAGGATGAATATCTGAATGCTTATCATGCATCATTACTATAATGTAGCTGTTTCAAATGTGGATGTTCTCATCATTTTTTTGTTCTCTTCCTCTTATCTTTTTCTGTTTTATGTACTATGAATTTAGTAAAATGTCTGAGAAGCATTCAGGTAAGCATCCTCACAAACTATTCAGTTCCAAGCATTCAGATACTTTATTCCGGCCATCTCATTTTCTTTGTTTGTTCAGTATACTTTTTCTTCAATATATGCTGGAGAATGTTTCAATTCTCTTACCAAGGAGACACTTTTCACCCTTTCTTGTGATAATTCTACTGGCTCTGTGCTCCTTGACTTATCTTGCTCCAAATGCCGAGTCTTGGAGTAATCTTTCCCTTCAATTGAAATTGCTTGATGTTTTGTTGGAGGTGGTTTAATATTAGATCTGTCATCCTGTTAAGACAAATACCATATAATTTTTAAACTCCATTTGTTGAAGAGCTTGTAATAATATGCTGATGATCATGATACTGTAAAAGCACACCACTTGCTATACCTTAGCCAATCCACCTTCAAAAGCACTAATCATTTTCCTCACATTACTGGGAGTCCTCCCTGGTGAGATCTTCTTCTCAGAATATTGAAGACCACCTTCCACTAAATTAGGTTGTATCAGATTACTTGTCAGGGCATCATTTTTTTCTGAGTCAAACAAAATTGCAATTTCTTCTGATCCAATAGCCCTCTGAGGGTGTTTCTCATATGGTGACTGATTGGAAGGCTTCTTACCCTTGTGTTGTAATTGAGAGGGAATAACTGCTTGTGACAAGGGTTTTGTAGATGAGGTCTCCTTATATTGATCTGCAATGTTCTAAAACATGTAAAATGACCATTAAACAAACAACAGTACATTTTCCAATGTCTCCTTGTTGGAACAAAAAGAGACTATGCAGCAAATTAATTGATCCTTAACTGGGATTAACTGTTTCTTCTGGTCAAGTTGAGGCCCAGCTACATTTCTAGGATCAGATTCTTTGTCACTGGAGGAACTAGCAGGACCTTGCATTCGAGAAACTGCTTCATGTTGAAGGAGTCTCTTTGGTGATTCTTGAGAAGATGGAGCACTTACAACATCAGGAAAAAGCCTTTGAGGGAATGTAGGACCACATTCATAACTATTAAGTTTCTGTATATTTTATTTATTAACTTTTACTATTGTATTACTGCTTAAAGTTTTCAGTTCTTCTTTAATCAGCTAAGCAAGATCAAACCTGAGACCTCATCATTTGTGCGGAAAGGTAATGCAGCATTGCTAGTAACAGTTCTGTCATCACTTTCTGCACCTCTTCTGCCACTACTAAGAAGCTCATCATGTTTTTTCTTTAATGCAGATTGTCTCTGCCAAAATAAAGATGAGAAGTTAATCTGTGACACTAATAACCACAACTTCAACTGTTGTCTCTACAAGTTAATAACATTCAAAGATATTACTATCTCTATGTATCAACCTGTCAACTATGGTTGTTCTAATTCTAATTGTATACATTTCATTCTAATACCATTAGCTCATTATCAAAACAATAATTGACTGAGGAATTTAACATCAAATGTTGAAGTAAGTTCATAAGCATAAGTGCAATACAAACGGAATAAGGAAAATAAATCAGTACCAAAGAACGAATTCTTTCACGCTCTTCATCACTAAGAATGAATTGCAACTTCAAACGCAAATGGCCACCCCCAAGGGGAAAATTCTCTTCCCAAACACCCTTCTCTAAAATCAACCTAATTTGAACACCTGCAATTTATTTATTACTTCCTGTTAGACAAACTCACTGTGTCTGACTTTGAAAGGGCCAATTCAATTATTCAAATAGAATGAGCATTGAAAAACAACCTGTACGTGACATTTCATTCCCCTCAGCATCAAGAATTTTGAAAATCAAATCATCACGGAGGCTAGTTAAGGGGCTGAGCAGAGAACCATACAACAGAACAAACAGATTATAACCTAGAAATTGTTATGCCACATATCACAGAAACAAGGTATAAGTTAATCTTACAAGGAAAAGTTTCCCTTGTCACTCATTTGGTACTCTAATTTCCCCATGGAAGCTGCATTCATTCACCACTAAACTTTGTTATAATTGACATTGGGAATGGGCTGGAGGAGAGGTAGGTACAAATTCAAAAGCAAGATCTATTGCATAGTGCATACCCCTTATGGATGTTGATGAAGATAATGGAAGATCCATGAATTCCAGCACTGTAAAATGAATAAAGAAGTAAGAAAAAAAAAACCTAGGAGCTAAGGTGCTTGAATTATTGCTAATGCTACATGACAGTTAGTACCTGAAACCATGATGGTTCCTGGCATTGCAGGATGAAGGATTCAATAATTAAATACAATAACTTAAGTTAGCCAAACAAGAGAGTGAGATTAACTAGGAACTAGTTACTATCCTCAACTCTAGATTCTGATCTAGGACGAGTGCTCAAGTGATGGAAACTTGGATGGGATTTGGAAGAATGGATATGGTTACAATCCAATGAAACCAGCTTGTGTGGTCCATGAAACCTTCAAAAATATTTATTAGCCATAAAAGCTTGATAGCAAAATTTCCGTTTTGTCTCATTTGTTAACTTGGAAACCCTTGCCATAGCTATTCTCTTCTTCTTACTATTCAAAATTAGATGTGAGTCGGATTGTTGAAGTACTATTACAATATTATTCTTAGGACCTAGGAATGATATTAACACATTTTCTAACATTGTTTTTCTGATACACACTCTTCTATTACGTTAATTTTGTATATTTTAAGTTTTGTGAACTAGTCCAATAGAACATCAATTAAAAAATATATATAATATCAGAAATTCAACATTTATAAATTATAAGCATGTACATTGTTTTTTTTTTCTCCTTACTAGGGTAAAATCCAATTCTTTGGCTGAGTAATGATAATCAACCTGTTATTTTTCTGTAATCCACATGGAGGAATCTCGGGTAGTAAACATACTTTAGGGGTTGTTTGGAAGTGCTTATAGCATAGTTTAAAAAATTAGACTGATCATCAAATCGATTAGGGTATTGAGTCAGTGGGTCAAAGGTTGAACAGGTCACTGGTTGAACCGGTCAGTGATTGAACTGCATGACCCGATTTTTGTTAATTTTTTTTTAAAAAAATATTCATGTTAAATATATTTTATACTTATAAATTTTAATAAATTCATATCCTATTTTAAATTTTAATTTCCATCTTATTAGAAATTAGTTTTATTTTTATTTTACATAAAGAAATACATTAAAAAAAATTACATGTTAAATTGTATATTAATACAAATTAAAAGTATAAATAATATGTATAATATAATATACTTACAATTGATATCACAAAATAATATATATAATATCTACATAGATATTATATTATTAAATATATAATTTAAAATTAATAATATATTATAAAAGTTATTTAAGTAACATATATTACAAACAAATACATTAGAACAAATAGTCATTGTTATGTTTAATAAGACTCTCTATTCTTCCAATAACAGTATTCAATTCCCATTGTTATTTTTGTGGTTTGTGGTCTCTTAAAAAGTTAAAAAAATTGTAGTTGAACCGGTTTAACATACTGGTTTACTAGTCGAACCAGAAAATTGACCGGTTCACTTCGATTTGAAACGGGTCGAATGCATAACCGATCCAACTTAAGACTCAGATCTGCTAGAGCATTAGTTCCCGGTTCAACCGATCCGAACCGGTTCAATCCGATTTTTAAAACGTTGGCTTATAGTTATAGGTAATGAGAAATAACTAGTACTTTAACATGTATATTATGTAACTAAATATTTACTTTATTTAACTAAAATTTATAATAAATTATATATACAAATATAAAGAGGAGGGTTCAAACGACACCGATGTAACTTTTACTAAATGTTACACCGCTCAATAATTTTAAATTAAATGTGAATTTTGTAAATCTAACCGTTTGACATATGATCTAAGAGATATGAGCTTTCAATCTAACGTTTAGATTTTCAAAATTCACATTTAATATAAAGTTATTAAGGGTGTAACACTTAGTAAAAGTTACACCGATGTCATTTGAACCCTCTTCAACAACTTGAAAGTAATCAAAGTGTTCATATTTTAGTATATTTTCAAATAAATATATTAAGTCAATTTTATTTTATAAGAATGAAGTACCAAATCATCTTGGATTAATATAAAAGTTTGTATATATGATCTAAGAGTAAAGAACTTTCAATCTAATGGTTGGATTTATAAAATTCACATCTAATTTAAAGTTATTGAGTGGTGTAACACTTAGTAAAAGTTACACCGGTGTCGTTTGAACCCTCCTCAATATAAATTATATTTAAAATTTGTATAAATAGATACTTTTAAACATATATATTATATTTTAAATTTATGATAAATAATTTATATTATAACACAATATTTCTTATTTATTGATAACTTGTGTTTAAAATATTAAAAATTTAATTCATAAATACTTATAAATAAAAACTAAATTAAATAAGAAGTTAAAAAAATTCGTAAAAATCTTTTCATTAAAGAAAACACCCTTAAAATACTCTCGTCCAAGATAAATGTTTGTGTTTAATATATAAGGATTGATTTTAAAATTATATAATACACATTTGTAAACTAGTATTTTAGTATGCACATTATATACACCAAATATTTATTATATATAATTAAAATTTATAATAAATTATATAAATAAATAAATATTTTGTTTGAATATATAAATCATATTTAAAAATTTTATAAATAGATATATTTAATCATATAAATTATATTTTTAATTTATGATAAATGATTTATATTGTAGCACAATATTTTTTTTATTTATCAATAACTTATTTTAAAAAAGTTAAAATCTAATTCATAAATACTTATGATAGATAAAAAAAATTAGATAAGAATTTTTTAAAAAAAATAAAAAATTCTCTTGTGGAAGTAAAATCTCTAAAAGGATTGATTAATTAATTAAAAAAAGAAAAATATGCTGCTAATCACAGCTCGAGGACATACGTGCTGATTGTGCTGCATGCTTTTGATTCGAATGAAACTGAAATATGACTACTTCATCTATTTTATTTTAAAAGGAAAAATTATTCTATTTGCCTTAATTTAGCACAACTGAAAAAAAGTAAAAAAACAAAAAAAAAAAACAAACTAGTTTAAGGATATTAAAACTATATGCACAACTGAAAAAAAGAAAAAAAAATGACTCGGTTAGTTGGGATTTCCTACAATATGTGATGGGACGAATGGGGTCTCCTCTTATTTGGAAAAATTGGATAGCTGAATGTCTACATACATCTCGGATCTCTGTTCTTATTAATGGGAGCCCAACTTCTGAGTTTGGGCTTGGACGTGGTTTGAGACAAGGAGATCCATTAGCTCCTTTTTTTTTTCTGATCGTGGTAGGGGGTTGAACTCTATGATGTCTAATGCTGTTCAAGCTAATCTTTTTACTGACAAGGTTGGACGTGATAAAGTTCAATTATCACATCTACAATTTGCAGATGATACAATTATTTTGGGGGAATCTTCTATGTCTAATATTTGGGTTATAAAAGTTGTTCTGCAGTTATTTGAATTGGTGTCAGGTTTGAAAGTGAATTTCCATAAAAGTAAGTTGTTTGGTGTGAATGTGGATCAAGGGAGGCTTGAAGTGTTTGCAAAGTTCATGAATTGTGGAGTTTGCTCAATTCCTTTTATTTATCTTGGTCTACTTATGGGTGCGAGCCCAAGGAAAAAGGAACCTTGGAAGCCAGTTATTCAAAAGGTGCAAAAGAGATTATCTATGTGGAAGTGTAAAAACTTGTCTTTTGGTGGTCGTTGTGCTCTGTTGCAATCTGTTCTCGATGCCTTTCCAATTTATTATCTTTCCTTTTTTAAGGCCCCGACAGGTATTATTTCTCAATTACATTCCCTATTTAGGTCTTTTTTGTGGGGAGGGAACCGAGAGAAAAATAAAATAGCATGGGTGTTTTTTTATGATGTTTGTAGATACAAGAAATTTGGGGGTTTGGGGGTTCGGGATGTGGGTGCTTTCAACTTAGCTCTATTAGGTAAGTGGAGATGGCGTTTTCTTGTTGAAAAAGAAGGATTGTGGCATACAATGTTAACTTCCATTTATGGAGAGAGGACTGTTACTAGGTTGGGTGGTGAGAAAGTCAGGGGATCTAGGTGGTGGTATGATATTTGGGGTATTGGGAGTGGCATACATGTTACGTCTTATTGGTTTTCTAAGGGTTGTGTTAAAGAGGTGGGTAATGGGGAAAACACTATGTTCTGGGATGATGTTTGGTATGGTAGTAGTGCTTTGAGCACTCGTTATGCGCGACTCTATTCAATATCCAATAATAAGTCGGCAACTTTAGCAGACATGTGTCTAAGGCGTGAAGGGAGTGTGGTCTGGAATTGGTGTTGGAGAAGGGATCTCTTTCAGTGGGAGGAAGATCAATTGCAACTCTTGTATTTGGAATTACAAAGCGTAAAGTTATTTGAAGAAAAATTTGATGGTTGGAGGTGGAAACATGATTCGGGAGGATCTTATTATGACAAATCTGCCTATCAAGTTATAATAAACCAGTCTATATATGCCGATTTTTCTATGTATAGATATTTGTGGTCCAAGTTGATACCCTCCAAGGTCTCTAGTTTTGGTTGGAGGGCCATTCTAGACAGAATTCCAACAAAACAGAACCTAATTAAACGAAAGGTTCTACCTTCTAATGTAGCATCTTGTGTTTGGTGTGGTCTATGTGAGGAAACCTCATCCCATCTCTTTTTTGAATGTTTCTATGCTTTTAAATTATGGATGTCTTGCCTTCAATGGTTTGGATTCTCCTCTGTTCAGAATAATACTATTTTGGCTAATTTCGAGCAATTTGTGGGAGTTCCAAATTGTAATGTTGTTAACCGGGTGCGATGGTCTTCTATTTGGTTGGTAACATTATGGTTAATTTGGCTTGCAAGGAATGAGGCAGTTTTCTGTCAAAAAATTATGGATCCTGAGGATGTGGTGGATTTAATTAAGTTGAGATCTTGGAATTGGTTAAGGGTTAAAGATTTAGCTTTTCAATACCCTTTTGCTCTTTGGTCTAATAACCCATTTTCTTGCTTAAATTTCTCCTGATATGGTTATTCCTGTCTTCCTTTCTAAGTGTTGACTGCTGTTTCCTTATAATTGCCATTTGAAGATCAATCTGTTGATAGTATTTTATTTCTTGCCAATGCTGTCATAATCTATCGCTTGAGATGCTACTGTCATTGAGCTCACTACTTGGTTTCGAGAGTTACTAATATCTAGCAACAGTTATCCAAACACTTGATTGTATTCACTAGGTAGTTGGTATTTTTGTTAGTTTCATAATGTCTAAGATTTTTGAAGTTAATTTTTTGTATTATGGGTTAGAGTACCCCTTTGTACTCTTTTTAAATATATATATATATATATAACAATAAAAAATGAGTTAATCACCTATACACTGCCAGTGTAAAGTTTTTTTACACT